GATTCTATGATTCTATGATTCTAACAGAGCCATGATTTTCACTCATGTCTAAGCAGTGAGATGCCTTCTGTGGAACAATGTACATGAGTTTGGACTTATTGCTCTGATGGGAAAAATTATTTTGATATTTAATACAAGTGGAACTCATCAGGATACAAAGTCAATTTTTAATCATGATGGTTGTTTCCACATAATTTTCTGCAAACTCCTGTGCATCTGTCGTCCCAGCCTAATTCTGGGCTTCAGCAAAAACACACCACTCTAGCAGAAGTTCCTCAAGGTACAAGCTAGCAGCTACACCCTTGCAGCAAGCTTGTATATCAGGGTAAAAAGAAAAGCAAATATGGCCATAGCCCTGCAGAAAGCAAGAGGACCATACCCATCCTCCGCCCTCCAGTGGCTACAGAGACCCTGTCTGTGGCTGGGACAGGTGGCATGCTCATGTCTGTCAATAACAAACCATGGGAAAGGCTCCACACTCAGTGCTGGCTGGAATACAGCAGGCAGCAGGCAGTTCTCTGCTCAGAAAGGGATCAGGTACATCGCTCCAGGTACAGGTTACTTCACAAGTTGGTTACACTCATGTTTACTTCCTCAACTTGTCTTTGCTCAAGGAATGCAGAGGACTGAAGCATGTATCAGGGATTAAATAGATTTAAACCAACTCATCAGAAATGACAGAAATGTTACAGGATCCTTAATTAGACAGCAGTACATTTTCTGTCTCCTTCAGGACATCAGGGGGATGAATCCCCATTCACAGTCATGCATCTGCAGTAGCAAAGAGCACTTTTGTGCAGCATGGGCATTGCACAAGTGTTGGTCAGAGCAGTGCTGGATTCATTGTCTCAACAACAACAGAGTGCTCCCTCCATAGCTTCCCACTGTCACTTTGTAGCCAGGAAGTGGCAGTCACTCTGTCATGGCTTTTCTTTGATATAGCTCATTCTTTACATCAGTAATTACTCCAATTATGATGCTCTGGCGTTTCCTATTCTCGTTTAGATTTATCTGGAATTTTTGCAAATTAGAAATTGTTGCTGATGCAGGAGCTGAGGGTATCTGCAACTGAATTTAACCAAGAGATGCTCAGTTATGAAACTGGAATCTGAGTCCAGACCAGATTATTGTTTCAGATGCTAGGAAGGTCTGTCAGATCATTTCTCAGGCTGGATTCATGATGTTAGCAACACAGGAGCCTATAATGTGAGGAGACCCAGCCAAAGTAGTCATTGAAAATAGATTATTCAATGCATTTGCTCATTTTTCTGTTTGTGAATCATTTCTGATTTCTAATATTGTGTTCATAAGCATTCACCCACGTGATTAGAGAACAAATCTCAGCCTAAGGGAACTCAGCAAACTATTCACTTTTTAGTAGTAATTATCCAGCATGAATGCAGTAGTTCATATAAGTCACATGGCATCAGTTATGCTTCATCTTTGAATGATGTAACTTTTTTTAAAATGGGAAGCTAGTGACTAATACAAGCAGAACTTTAGGGACAAGTAAATATTTAGGACAAGCAGAAAATCTGTGCTATAAATAATCAACCAACCATTATACAGATATTTGAGGAAAATTCCCAAAAAGGGATGAGCAAGGACATCTTTTTTTTTTTTTTTTTTTTTTTGGCTTTTCTGCCAGCCTTAGGCATAATGTCAGCTACTATGATGACAACTGTAATGTAAGGTTTTTTCTTTCTTTACTGACAGGTACCAGCAGTGCAGAAGTAAAGGAAAATCGAAACATTGACAACCTGGAGGATCATCCAGTATCCTCCAATGAGAGGGCAAGAGGGGGAACACCTAGCAGTAAGAGAAAACGACCTTTAGAGGAAGGGAATAATGGCCATTTCTGCAAACTCCAGCTCATCTGGAAGAAAGTCTCATGGTCAGTGACACCAAAGAACGCTCTGGTTCAGCTACATGAACTTAAACCGGGTTTACAATATAAAATGGTTTCCCAGACAGGTCCAGTGCACGCTCCAGTCTTTGCCGTTGCTGTGGAAGTAAATGGACTCACATTTGAAGGCACGGGGCCCACAAAAAAGAAAGCCAAAATGCGTGCTGCAGAGCTAGCTCTGAAGTCATTTGTTCAGTTCCCCAATGCCTGCCAGGCACACTTTGCCATGGGGAACGGCATCAACCCATCCACAGACTTTACTTCTGATCAGGCAGACTTCCCAGATACTCTGTTCAAGGAGTTCGAACCATCTACACACAGCGAGGACTTCTCGGTCTACAACCCCGTGAATAACGACTTGCTTTCCACTGCCTACCGCCACGGGCGCCTGCTCTGCCATACGCTGGACTTAATGGGCCACGGGAAGCAAAGCAAGCACAAGGTGGCATCCAAAGCAGAGAGCGAGAAGAACCCGGTGGTGCTGCTAAACGAGCTGCGGTCGGGCCTGCGGTACGTCTGCCTCTCAGAGACGGTGGAGAAGCAGCACATCAAGAGCTTTGTCATGGCGGTGCGAGTGGACGGCAGAACATTTGAAGGCTCGGGACGTAGCAAGAAGCTGGCCAAGGGTCAAGCGGCGCAGGCGGCCCTGCAGGCTCTCTTCAACATTCGGCTGCCCAGCCACATTCCCAGCAGGAGTAAATGTCACCATTTGCCACAGGTGAGAGCTCCTGGGTAGCCACCAGCGCTGTGGAAGAACTCTTTCAATGAGCGGGATCTGTTTTGCTCTAGGTGGTGTTCTACCAGATGGCTCCTCTGATGCTATAGCAAGGGTCACACCACAAAATAGCTTTTTCTCCTAGAAGGAGCCAGATGCCACAGGCAAAAGCTTGAAAATTGTATCCTGAAATTATTGGATACAATTTGCAGCCCTTTCCAGAGGTGGCATAGATGAGCGGGCAAAATGCAGGAGGACATCCTAAAGCTTCAGTTTGCTAGAGAGAATAAGAACATCGACACAGGCATAAAAATCAGGTCATTCTGTGGTAATGCACCTTTCTTGACAGAAAGGACCCCATAAGCAAAGGGATGCCCCATATCCCCTTCTTAGAGTTAATATTTCATGAGAAGAGTGTCATTCAGAGGAGACAGCAATGACAAGGAATGTGTCTGTGTCAGAGCAAACTCTCCAGCCAATTCTGCCACTAGAAAAGTTAAGGATTTTTGTTTAGATAGGCTTATTTTGGGGGTTGTGCTTTTTTTGTCTTCAAATATGCCTCCAACAGCACAAGAGGTAGTAAAAGCTCCAAAGTTTTTCTGGAACAAACATAGAGATTACTGTTGTATTCATGAAAATAGACCTGTGGTATATACTTAGCACATCAAAATTTCATGGCTGGTCATATGCCAAAGGCTATCTTAGCATTACTCTTGCTTGTGTCAATTTTCTAAGTTCAAAAGAAGCCAGACTTGCAGACATTGAGAACTGTTGTATGGGTTCCAGTAATTTCTATATTTGTTTGCGCTATCATAAAAGATTTGATCCACCAGCACCAGGACGTGATCTACTGCTACAAAGCTCCCTTTATGAAGGGAAATATTAATGTCCAGGATTTAATGCAAAGCACTGGGAGCACTAAGAGTCATTCTGCTGCTGGCTTGCTGTGAGACCCTAGGCAAGTCATTTAAATCCAATATGCCTGTAATAAAAATGAGTGTATTATATGAAAGAACACTTCAAGATCCTTAAGTAGTGTGTAAATGCAAATTACTAGTAGCAATTCTCATTAACATTTTGAAAAATGTTCATTAAATGTTCAAGGGTTTTGATAGGAGATGAATCTTTTAGGTGACGTGATTGCCTGCAGGACACAGGAATCCTCTTTAGTGATCCAGAAGTTTCCTTCCTGTGTTTCCAAAAAAGAAACATAAGAAACGTAAGAAATTCTAAAATACATCATAATCTTCCACCTCTTCCTTTTAATTCTATTTTTTTTAAATCCATGAACCAGTAGGATAATAGCATAATTTAGTAATAGCAGTGATCTTCACGGAGTGCTTTCCAGGCATTTTGGAAGCCTTGGTCAACCTGGCAGTTCCATCCTCCTAGTATTCCTCCAAAGTACAAAGTACGGATAGTTTTAAATGAGAAATCTATGCTGTTTCCTCCCCAAATTAATTCTGATAAAAAGTAAATTGTTTTGATGAACATGCCTGTCCTTCCCCATGGAAACCTAGCACTTGGATATAAAGAGGAATCTTTAGTCCCACCCTGCTGGCTGCTTTGCTGCCCCCAGTGAACTTTGCCGAGTGGATCAGCAAATAAATACCATCCATTCATTGACCAATCATTTCTCATGTTCTGAAACCGCACCAAGTATCATTGCCTCAGTACTCTCTGAAATATTTCCTGGTTGCATGGCTTCATGATCATCTACTGCTTGAATATCACATCTTACCTTGATCCCCAAGTGTTCATTAGGTGACACATTCTTCAGTGTATATTCCTTTTTTTATGGCTTTTTCTCCTTTTTGTAAAATTCTGCCTTCCTTATGCTCTTCTCCTCACTGTTCTGGAAGTACAAATGTCAGTGAAAAGGTGTCAATGTACTTTCTCTGTTGGTGTTTTTTGAGTGGTTATGTATTGTCCAACTGAAAGATTACTCAGGCACTTTTAATGCCAGCATTCAGCACATTAATTGGAGAGAGAAGCCTCAACACTGATTTCTGCTGACCTCCTTACTAGCTGCTCTCATCAATAGATACAGCAGCCACGACACAAAATCAGAGTTTGTGTTACTCAAGTCATAAACCAACTTCTACTGAAACCAACAGACATTTTTCCACTGACTTCAGCTGGTCTATAGCTTAAGCATTAGATCCAGAATCAGCTTTACTTGTTCTGGATGTGTTGTGCAGTACCTCACCAAGTGACTGTGTTTGCTCACTGTTTCAGTCAGCCCATCTGGCAGTTTGGTCACTCAAAGCGGTGGTAACCATACTGGGGGGAGTGTAGTTCTTATTGAGCTGTGGTCAGAACCAGCTGCTCTAAAAGTTGTTTCAGCTTGTTCTTGTCTCCCTGACCTTCTGAGAACCACATTTTCAAGGGCACATTTCAAGCCAAGTTTTCAAAGCTATTCCTACTTCGTAGGCTCATCTTGGTTTGTGTCCAAAAGTGTTTAAAAGCAGGAGAGCACCCTGAAACCCAAAAAGCTTAAGGATAGAATTTGAAATATTAGAGGTGGTTGATTTCTTCACAGAATAAGAACTTTTGTCTTATCTGACCATTCATTCTTTTCATGTGCTCCATCATATTGTTAGGATATCAGATAGAGAACTTAGTGATGGTAAGGATAGGTAAACTGCATCAGCTGTAACAGTTTTGCCTATATTTAGAGTACTTTGTAGAATCTAGGCGTATGTTTATCTTTTTGGATAAACTGCCCTTTACAAAGAGTATACAAACTTTACATGTCTCTGTTCCTGCTCCCCTTGCTGTTAACAGTGGTGTTAAGAGGCCAGAGTTTGATTTTTCCTAATTACAGCCTGAGTGAAAACAGAAAAAGCCAAAAATCTTGTAATACTGTTTGTCAGTTGTGCTGAACATAGATTTCACAGTATCCAAGAAAGTATGAAATAAGTTCAGATATTCTTATGGGCTGGGCCTTATGACCATTGACATTTCTGCCTCACTCACCCCAGGGGACATGGCATCCCTCAGTTTGGGCCTCGGGCATGCCCTCAGACTGACAGCCACTTTTCCTGCTGGCCAAGGGAGAGGGACTGTGAAATATCAAAAAGGGCAGCATGTCCTCCAACCTGTCCTGAGAGCTGCTGCCTACACAGGAGTCTTCCTGAAACACCAGGAAATGCAGAGCATAGATATAAAATCCTTCCACCTTGATCTTTTCTGATTCAGGCAAAACAAAGAAATGCAAGAATTGCAAAGGCAGAAATAGATTAATTCTCTGGGGTAGCTGCGGTCCAACTTGCTTCTCCAGCTGCCTCTCCTAACCCTCACCTTCCAATGCTGAAAATCCACCACGAAATTGTGAACACTTTACAATTCTGCTTTCTTAGAAAAACATCACTGTGCCTCTGATTTTCTTCCCTGAGATTGTTCCACAAGGTGTTTCGGCTGACTGCAAAATTATACTCAAAAATAATAATAAAAAAAAAAGTCGATCACACTTTACACAAGGAAAAAAAATCTGATTTCATAATAAACCAAAAATAATTAAGATTATTGCTTCTTCACTGCCATCAACAGTAACCTGATCCACTTCTGTGATTCTTATACAGGTAAAAGGATGGCTGGGGGACCTGAGCTCTTGCCTGTGTATAGGGTGAATAGAAAGTGGCTGAGATAATCCCAGAACCAGCTGAAATAGTTACAACATTTGCCCATCAATCTGCCAGCCACAGTTCTTCCTCAAACAGATGTCTTATCTGTGCTATGCCATTGAGGTGCAAGATAAATACTATTGATGGTCTGAGGCTGGGCATGCCACGTTGAGCAGAGTAGCCAAGATAGGAGCCTGGAGATCTGCTAAACTAATGGCAGAGATAAAGCAAGTCAGGAGAATGGAAATTACATTGCATCTCTGAGAACTGTCTCTAAGTCACTAAGTATTGTTCCTTGTTTCCTAGCATAGTTCATCCAAACTCATAGTGTCCACCGAATAACAAACAATTTATTCGATCATCAGCTTTTATGGAAGTCTGACAATTCTTTCCCCTCACCTTGGGAGCTAATATTCTTATATTCCAAAACAGGAGACAATATCAAAGGGTGCTGACCTAACCAGCCCTAACAAGTCTGCGCTGGTAGAAACACATCCAGACGCTCCCAGCCTTTCCAAGTGCAGCGTGCTCATTTCAGGAGATCAAGGTGACCTCCAACTGCATCTGACCAGTTTACAGATTGCTTTCTAATCTTGTAGTCCTTCTAATCTATCTCACTCAGTCTAAATACCATTCCTACTGCTGTAGAGCAAAACCATTAATTAATATTGGCCATAACAAATTAGTCATAGAGAGATGTTTGGATTTCAAATGGACCTAAATTAAAAAAGAATAGGTGTGAAAATCACATTCACTCCACTTTGAAATGGCTTGATGCTACTGCTCTTGCTGGTTCACATCCAGAGCCTCCAGAGCAGCAGTTGTCAATTTTTTTATTTAAACAAAACTTCATTGTGTTTTGTGTGTGTACCATCAAAAAGAAGCAGGTTTTTTTTTTCCCTCTGGCAAACAAAGCTAGTCATCTGAATCCAGTTAAATCCCCACTTTGCCAAAAGTTTCATTTGTAGACCAAAGCAACCTCAGCATCCTCATTCTTTACCCTGAGCAGGTCAAGGACTCCTACCAGCTAACTCCAGAGTCACCTTGGCAAGCAGTGGTGTGGGTAGAACACCACTGTGTTGGGGACAGCCCCATGCCCCACTTCCCTCCAGAAATTTGTTTCTCTGTGTTGCAAAACTGGTTCATTTTATGCAGTGTCGGTTGTTCCTGCCTCCTTCACTCTATTTCTGTCAGTGTCCTCATTTGCCAACTTCCTCACAACCGTGCCCTCTCACCTGTGTCACAGTTAAACCAGGGCTGATGTTGGCAGTGATGGACCTGACTCCAGTGTGCAGAGGGACAGCACACTGAGCTGGCACTGAGCTTTGAGAACATGTTTCAGCATGTTTCTATGAAGGGTTTTTTCTGGTCAAGTGA